ATAAAACCAGGTGTGATGATGTATGCCTATAATTCCAGAACTGGGAAGGTGGAGGCAAGAGAATCAGAAATTCAAAGTAATCCTCAGCTACACAGTGACTTCAAGGCCAACCTGGGCTACATGCAACCCTGTCTCAAAAAAAAAAAAAAAAAAAAAAGAGAGAGAAAGGAAAAGAAAAGAAAAGAAAAGAAAGAAATTGGTAACTTTACATCTATGAAGAATTTGTATGTAATATAACGGTACTTTCGAAATCCAATTGAGATGGCAAATTCATAGCCACATAACACATATGGAGAGAAGTTGACACACAGTTCACACAGCATGGTAGAAGATGATAAAGCCTGATCTCATGAAGCATGGGGTTGGGTGGTGGAAACTGATGGGTTTAGATCTAGGTTTGTGTACCAGATTTGATCTAAGAACCAGAGAAGCATTCAGACCATGTTATTTCTTTCAAGCAAGATAGTTTTCACTTTAAAATTTAAGGGTGAGATAAACTTCCTTAAGCATGTTTATTTAAATCACAGTTTCAGTGTTAATAAAACATGAAAAATAAACCAGTTAGGACACCGCCAAAATGCAAGTTGCATTGAACTAAGTATTTCGTGCCTACCCTCCTGAGCTTCTTCCATGCCTCATCTGTAAAATGATAATAGCCCTTACCAGTATTTATATTATAAAAAGTATTGTTACTGTAATTTAGAGTCTTAATGGTTATGGTGTCTTTTTGAAAGATAAGCATTATACACGAATGAGGTATTATTATTTAGTTTTTCCTTTCAGTCCAATTAAATGAGAATTAGATGAAAAATTCTGCTTTAAGCAATATCCAGTGGGTAAATGATTATTGACTTGAGTAAAATGAGGAAAAAAAAATTCTAGCCGCAACTGTGCTGCTCAGCTTGTCTGTGCACGGCAAACGATGACTGGGTTTGTGTGTGCTGTTTACCATTGTTCCCTCTCTTCTCTGTACTCTGATCACAAACTAAAGACAGTTAAGCCTTTTGGTTCAGGCACAGTCGCTTTTCAGAGAACCCAGATCACCTGGAAGGATTATAGTTTGGAAATAACATAATAGCATTTCCACTTGTGAAAACACACAGCTGGTTTTCTCACTGAGTATGGGCCCAAGTGAACTATCAGGCCTCTGCTTCCCCTTGGGGCAGCCAGGAGAGGGCTACCTGATCCTGTGGTCTTCTCTGGCTAGATAGCACTACTGCCTGTGCATCACTGAACAGCTAGCTCCACACCACAGCTTTCCTGTGTTCTTGGAATGCAGAGTCGTGGGGGAAGGAGAGGGGGTTGTGGAAATCTGGTTTGTGGATTGTGAATGTTAGAAACTTTGCTTTATGGGGCTGGAGAGGTGGCTCAGCAGTTAAGAACCCTGGTTGTTCTTGCAGAAGACCCAGGTTCGAATCCCAGCACTCATATGGCAGCTAACAACTGTCTATAATTCCAGTCCCAAGGGATCCGACAGCCTCTTCTGACCTCCATGAGCATTGCATGACACAGGTGCACTTACCTACATGCAGGCAATACACGCATACACAGAAAATAAAAATAATAAAATTTGTAAAAAAAAGGAAGTGCTTTATTTCATGAAGGGGAGCCAGAGAGATGGCTCAGTGGGTAAAGGTGCTTGCCACGCAAGCATGGTGACCCGTTGATTCCCAGGACCCACACAAAGGAGGAAGGAGAGAACCAACGCCATATCATGAAAGTCTGAGAAATCCAACAGAACTGGGGGTAGATGCAGGATAACAAAACTGGTAGCCATGTGCACACCTGTACAGTATGCGTGTATCTGGTGGGCCTGCTTCATCTCATCTATGCATCTTTGGTGCCTCTTTTGACATTGTGCCCTGGCCCTCCCCTCTTGTCCAAACCCTTTGTTGTGTCCATCCATTAGGACTTGGCTCACCTTCACTCCCCAGGACCAACCTTCAGCACTGCTTGCCGCTATGGTCATCTGTTTTTCACCTAATCCATTTATTTTGACTCCTGGATTTTGCTCTCTGAGAGGCTCCCTGCTTGCATAGCTGCCTGGCCAGCTGTGGGGCCAGCTGCCTGTTCAGACTCCAAGGTGACCAAATTCCTCCCTCCCTCTGACTGCTGTCACAGCATGAGCCATGCCAGTAGGTGAGAGAAAGTGACTGTGAGAATGGTGTCTGAGCAGATCTGTCCCTGGAGAGGTCATTTCAGTGGAGGGCCGCTCAAGAGTTGACATGTGCCTTCAGGCATCACAGTGGGCCTTGGTCTAGGGAACTTAGTGGACCTTTGCAACCTAGGAGGAGAACATACAAGGTAGATTTAGTTTACTTTACAGCTTTAGCCAAACCAGCATTGGTTGGGAGAAAACTGTTCAACATGTGGGCTATGTCTTCCCATAATTTTGCCATGAGTCAACTGCGCTAAGGTAGGGAGAGGTATGAATCTTACCTAAAGATCTTAAATGGGCCTCCATGAGGGCTCCATTTTCCTGCATTTGGGAGCAAAGTCTAGGAACATGTCTTTTCCCACTTCTAAGGCCAACTTTTCGAAACAGTTGCCCTCATGCATCAGATCCATTTACTATTCCACTAATGGGAACCTGACTTCAGGATTTCTACTGGGCCAACACCTGGTCAAATTGGTCATGGATACATCTGTAGGCTCCTCAGCCTTTCTGTTTTGATCTCTCAACAACAGTTGCCTTTGTTGACCACAACCTACTTGTTGAAATGTGTTGCCCTGGCCTTTCCTCACTCTGCCTCTATGCTGTGCCTTCTCACTGTTTTGGGGAGCCTTTCTCTGCTCATGCTTTCAGCCTTGGTGCTCCTGGGGTCTCCCATGGACCCTTTTCTCTCCTCCAACACGCTCCCACACTGTCTTATTTACCCCATCCCAGTGAATCCAATTGTTGTGAGTTGTTTTGTGTTGGCTTGGTTTTTTGAGACATGATCTCCCTATAGCCACAGCTGGTCTGGAACTCTCTACATAGACCAGGCAGGCCTCGATCTCACAGAGATCTGCTTGCCTTTGCCTCCTGAGGGCTGGTGTTAAAGATGTGCCGCACCGCCCCTGACTTCAGTTGCTGTGAATTGTACTGATGGTTTCTAAACCTGTATTATCTGACTTCCTGGTCCTGCTGCATACTGCGGCTCTGCTAATGTCTCCCTAACCCCAGGCATCACAGATATGGCCAAGGCTTAAATGTGTCTCTGCCTCCCCTACAGTTTCCATCTTCTATTCATATTTTTGCTGTCTTGGTGACACCACTATCCACCCTATTGTCCCAGCCCCAAATCCAATGCCGTCTTGACATCTACCTCTTCAAAATGCTAGCATAGAGTTAACCACACCTTTCAGTATGCTCTATGTCCCCTAGAACATACCTTGCAAGTTTCTATGTCGTGCAGAAGTCTTTGCTTCTCCAGCCCCATCTCTGACCACTCTGGCTGATGCTGTCTGCCTTGGCCTTACAGAAGTGCTTTCAGCATGCAGGCACTCAGCTTGTAGAGCCATTTCTGGGACTTCCACAGGGTGAATTCACTGTGCTCTCCGTTTGAAACAGACTTTCTACATCGGTAGGACTAACTGCTGTTCATCTTGTGTCTGTGTAGAAGGCACGAACTTTCCACTCTCCCTCCTGCTTCACCAGAGCTAGCTTCCTGTTCTCACCTTGCCCTCTACCAACAGACCAGATTTATCCTGTTTGCCTTTGTATTCCTAGCACCAAACAAAGTCCTTGGCATAAAATAGTTGCTCAAGAATGAATGAATGGCTATAAATACCAAAAGTGGGCTGGGGAGGTAGCTTGGTTAATAAAGTGCTTACTGTGCAAACATAAAGACATGACTTTGGGGCTGGAGAGATGACTCCATGGTGAAGAGCACTGATTGCTCTTGCAGAGGACCTAGGTTCAATTTCCAGCACCCACATGGCAGCTAACAATTGTCTGTAACTCTAGTTCCAGGAGATCTGACGCCTTCTTCTGACCTTTGCAGGCATTGCACAACGCAGGTGCACTTACACACATGCAGGCAATACACTCATACATACAAAATAAAAATAATAAATGGATTTAAAAAAAATACATGACTTTGATCCCTGGCACCTATGGAAAAAGCCAAGGGCAGTCCTATGTGCCTGTAGTCCCAGCCCTAGAGAGGCACAGTCTCTGGGGCTTGCTGGCCAGAAAGAAAGGAAGGAAGGAAGGGGGGAAGGAAAGAGGGAAGGAGGGAGGGAGGGATGGGGAAGAGAGAGAAAGGAGGAAAGGAAGAAGGAAGGAAGGAAGGAAGGAAGGAAGAAAGGAAGGAAGGAAGGAAGGAAAGAAGGAAAGAAGGAAGGAAAGAAAAAGGCAGATATAGATTAAGGAAGACACCTGATATCAACCTGTGGCCTTCACACACATGTACACATGTGTGCAAGCTCACTCCCCACACACATACATGCAGATACACATACACAAGAAAAATCAACATCAGGAGTATCATTGTAAAATATAAGATACATTTCTGATTGTCTTAGATAGCTTTCTAATGCTGTGATCAAAACCATGTCCAAAACCAACTTGAGGAGGAAAGGGTTTATTTGGCTTAGCACACAGTCTGTCATCAAGGGAAGCCGAGGCAGGAACTCAGAGCAAGAACTTGAAGCCAGGATCTGAAGTACAGACCATGGAGGAATGCTGCTCACTGGCTCGTTTCCCTGGCCCATACTCAACCTGCTTTCTTATATAATATAGGACCACCTGCCCGGGGGTGGCACTGCCCCCAGTGGGCTAGGCCCTCACACATCACTCAACAATCAAGAAAATGCCTCAGAGACATGGCCAAAGGCCAGTCCAATGGAAGAAATACCCCGAGGTTCCCGCTTCCAGGTGTGTTAAGTTGACAAGTCAAGTTGTCCAGCTCACTGATCAAAGAATGCAGTTAATACTTTAATAAACAAAAATATATCGACTCCTTCTAACATCCAAAGGATCCCCAAGTTCTTTTCCCTATGGACTTCTTTTCCAGAGCTCAATGTCCAGACTCACTGAACCATTCTTTGAGGTCACCCAAGTCTCCCATCTCCTGACTCTCCATAAGCGACTGGACTCATAACTGGTTCCCTATTGTGAACATGGGGCTTGGAATAAGGTGAGTGATGGCTTTTCAGTTGTCCTCTGCTATTCGTTTTCAACCATATACTGTCTGTGTAGAGCAATACTGTGGACATTCCTCTCTCAGGAGCCTTCATCAGGAGCTGGGACTGCCTCCCAGTGACTGTGCTTGTTTTTACAATGTTTGAATAGCCTGTGAGTACAAAGAAATGGAACCTCTCCTGAGGAATCGTGTTCTTCCAAATTTTCTTTTTTGTTTCATGACAAATTAAATTCTTCATCTTTGTTCTATTGATTTTTTTTTTAATGTGACTCCACATAGAGAGAAGGAATATTAAGGAACAGACCCGGGTCCTTCTTGGGCCAAATGTGTACTTAGACTACAGACCAAGAGCAGTGCAGTCTCGGGGCTTCACAAACAGGTCTCGACCAGCCCTCCGGCCTCCACACAGCCCCCTCCTCCACCCCCACTTCCACATTTCCTTAGCTCTTACTTGCTTTTGTTTTTCCTAGCATTTAATGTGTTTGCCTGTCTTTTAAAAAAATTATTGCCTATTTCCTTATATTAATTACTTTTCTCTTTGTTGTGACCAAAAAACTGACAAGAAGCAACTGAGGTCTTGGAAGAAGGGTTTATTTTCACTTGCAGTTACATCATGGCAGGGCAGGCAAGGCGGTAGGAGCATGATCACATTGTGTGTCCAGTCATCAAACAGAGGCAGATGAGTGCTGGTGCTCAGCTTGCTTCTCCTTTGTATTCAATCCAGGATCCCAGCCCATGGGATGTGTCACCCACATTCACAGTAGATCTTATTTGCTCAGTTAAAGCCTTTTGGTACCATCATTATAAGACATACCCAAGAGGTATGTTTCCATGGTGACTGTAGATCTAATCATGATGACAGTGAAGAGAAAACCATCATATTCTCCTTTTAGAATGCAAGCTTTTGCGGGGGGGGGGGGCGGTCCAGTTCTTTGGTTTTGTTTAGCGCTGTGTGTGTGTGTGTGTGTGTGTGTGTGTGTGTATACAGCACTTGAAACAGTATATGGAAGATACTCAACAAATATGATGTCTTTAAAGGTCTTTTATTATTTGTTTTAAGTTGCTGATTCACACTCAGGTCTCTAGGGATCTAATGCAGGTCTGATTTCAGCCCTGTCCCCTTGATACTTTTATTGATGACTAAGATGATGATAAAATTGATGGTATGCTAAACAGATTTACAGATGACACACAAGTAGAGGGTTGGCAACTTAATGGATACACTCAGGATTCCCTCTCACCCAATCCTGACGGGATGCTATAGAGTGAATCATTTAGCAGTATAAAGCTAATGGGTCCAAGTATCAAGTCCTCAAAAATCCCTGAATTCAATTAGACAAGTACAGAGTGGGCGCAATATGGTTTGCAACTCCACGTCAAGAAGATTTAGAGCCTCCTGTTGATTGTAAGTAGATGGTGAGTCAACACCATGTGATGTGCCTTCTGAAAGAATCAATCTCCTATATTAATAAAACTAGAGCATTCAAGAGCAGAGCTGGCTCTCTAGTGCTTACTTGTGATCAGGCCACATTTATTCTGCTTTATGAATTCTGGGCTTCCAACAGAGATATTGATAGAAGAGCATCCAAGAAGAAAACAAGAAGGATAACAACAGATCCGGAAAACAGTGTTATTCAGAAATAAGAACGGATCCAAGGTCACGTGTGGGCATATGCAGGGGTGTGACAAAGATCCATCTTCTCTGTTCTAAGATGCTATCCTACAGTGGCTACTGTACATTTCTTCTGGGTGATTCCAAATGTCAGATTAAGAGCCAGTCAGTAGAAGATGTAAGCATGCGCATTTCAGCACTTTAGAATTTAACAGCAATTTCGTTTGCCCAAATGGACAATGACAGCAGAAAATAAATCTTTGGGCCCTGGTGGTGTGACATCCAGGGCTGGAAAGCCATGCCTCAGTTTCTGAATACATTTGTGATAGAAGTTCAAACACTGGGTAAAACACTGAGGACAATAGGATTAACCATAATGGTAGCATATACTATATGGCTGTTTTGTGGCAAGCACTGCAGTAAGAGATCACCAGTATTTTCTTTTAATATATCAGTCCTACCAGCTCCATTTTACAGATGAGAAAAGTGAGGCACGGAGGATTCTGGATTCTGTAATTTACCTTGATGCAAACCAGAGACAGGATTTGAACTTAGGCAGTCAAATCTTTGACCTTAATTATTATTTAATAATGACCTTTAGCTCCAGCGAATCATTCTTTCCTACCCTGAGACTCTATTACTCTCATGATATACTCAAACGAAGGAGTTTATTATCACGAAGCGCAGATGATTCTTCAGTCAGTAAGGTCTTTCTCTGTCCAGTATGTAGGCACTAAATCTGACACTTGCCACTTGTAGATGGAGCTTGGCTTAGAACTTAGCACACAGTAGGTGCTCAATAAATTCTTTATTAGCGGAAAAAAAAATGACACAACTGTATTCATATGAACTTGGCTATATCTGGAATGACAGAATCTCAGTGTGCTTCATATGAAGAAAAACAAGAACTCCCTGGGTAGTCCACCGACGACAAGAGGCGGAAGGGATAACCCATCATTCCTGGTAAAGACCTTGAGAATTCTTGCTCAGTTGTTTGGACAAAATTTGTTTAAACAGAGGCTGGAGAGATGGCTCAGCAGTTAAGAACACTGACTGCTCTTGCAGAGGACCTAGGTTCAATTCCCAGCACCATATGGCAGCTACTAACCATCCTTAACTCTAGTTCCAGGGGAATCCAAAGCTCTCTTCTGATCTCGGCGGCATTGAATGGCACAGGTACACTCACATACATGCAGGCAATAAACTCATACACATAAAAAAATAAAAATAATTTTTTTAAAATATTAAAAACAAAAACCAAAAAATATCTGTTTAAACAGATATTTGTTGAGTATCTGTGCTAGGCCAGGTATATCTCGTGTGCTGGGGAAAGTGAGGCAGGCTGGCAGGTAAGCTGTTAGTGGGAGAGGGGATGAGGTGAACAGGGAAGTAAATCCTCATAGTAAAATGTAAGAAGTACTTGCTATAGCAGTGGTGTGTGTGTGTGTGTGTGTGTGTGTGTGTGTGTGTACTCGCATTTTAAGTATTATGGAGAGTAGAACTGAACTAACTTTATGTGGTTGAAGGAGTTGTCTAATGTGTGATTATATTTTAAAAATAGCTTCTACATATGCTATCTCATTTGAGTTTATTCTCTCTCCCTAAAGACCGTATGAGATTTTGTGTGTAAGATGAACTAGTCACAGAGAGGTTGAATGAGGCTATACAGCCAGTACTAATGCTTGTGCACCTTTGTAGAGTACTTAGGGCACCTGTAGCTCTGTTCTAACTGCCCCTTTTTTTGTCTTTTAAAAAATATTTTATTGCCGGGCATGGTTGTGTACACCTGTAGTCCCAGCACTTGGGAGGCAGAGGCAGGCAGATCTCTGGGAGTTCAAGGCTAGCCTGGTCTACATAGTGAGTTCCAGGACAGCTGGGGCCACAGGGAAACCCTGCTTCAAAAAGACCAAAAAAAAATTATTTATTATTTTTATTTTATGTGTATGAGTGTGTTGCATTCATGTTTGTGAGTGTACCCGTGTCATGCAATGTTGTGGAGGTCAGAAGAGGGTTTCGGACTCCCCTGGAACTGGAGTTAAGGACAGTTTGTAGCCGCCATGTGGGTGCTGGGAATCAAACTCGGGTCCTCTGCAAGAGCAGTCAGTGCTCTTAACTGCTGAGCCATCTCTCTAGCCCCCTTTTGTGGTCTTTTTGAGACAGGGTCTTCATATAGCCTCAGCTGGCCTGGAGCTTGCTATGAAGACCAGGCTGGCACTGAACTCACAGAGATCCACCTGCCTCGATTAAAGGCATGGGCCACACACCCAGCCTAACCCTAACCCTAACCCTAACCCTTTTTATTGGGGGGCACGGACTCTCTCACTTTGTAGCCCTGACTGCCTCTGCCTCCCAAAGTGTTGGGATTAAAGCCATGTGCCACCACACCTGGTCTTGTTCTTGTTTTAAACCCTTTTAAGACCTTTAGGCCTCACAAACACTTGAAAGTAGTTATTGATATCATCACCATTTGACAAGTGAGAAGACTGAGGCATGAGATTGAAATAACATGCCTTGAGTAACTAGGATTGGCACCTGTGCAGTCAGCGTTAACTCTCACACTCGCCCAGCTGCACCGAGTTGCCCTCACTGGCTGGAGACAACACAGCTAGACTCTGAGTCCAAGCTCAGCTTCTTTCTCATGGCCTTGCTCATTAGCAGATGTTGCATCCAAATGAGAAGAAATGGTAATGTGGGTATGAGAAATGTTATGCAGGTCATATATCCGTGACATTTGGGGAGCAGTATGGTTAAATCTAGAATGAACGTTAATGCAAGACAGACAAGCATCATGATTTAAATATTCTCCGTTTTAGGTATTCAGGACTTCTAACTGCAACCAGAATCAGCCTGCTTGTCTTTTGGGGCATGCAGTCTGGGCAGCAGGGCACAGGACTCGCTGTTCCCAGCAACTAGCCACCAACCCTTACCCTGAAGCTTTTTGAGATACAGTTTAATTTTTTTTTCTAAAAAAGAATGAACAAAATGTAAAGATTTAGGAATGAAATAAGACAATCAATACCTTGTAAATTAACAGAGGAAGAACAGAGCACCTAATTGCTTAAATTGTCCAAATGTTCTTACACTGAAAGATAGTTTAATCCAGTATTCTTGGTCTTTCCTGACTGAGTTGGGCTGGCTCTGTGGCAAATCTGACTGGGGGAGAACTGGCTTAATGAATGAAGTAGATGACCCCTTCCTCACTAATTACCGCTTATGCTAATGTGAGCTTGACCTATGTGATCAAAGCAATCGTGTTTTTAAGATACCAATCTCCTATAATTTTTGGAGATTTGGTAATTTTGAAATCAGCTACAGGCTGAGATTTCTGTGGTAGGCACTGGAGCAGCAAAAGGTCAGTGCATTCTTTCCTTTGAAGTAGGTG